ACACTTTGGGGTCAATATTTTTAACAAAAAGATTGTGTCTGAAAGGCAAGTGTTTTTTGTTTCTTAGAATGAATCTTTATATCAGTGAAGTACGACAGCATCTATACCTGCACCAAGTAATGACTACTATGCAGGGAAGCAAGCTCTAAAGTTGTTACTTTAAAAGATGAAATGCAAAGCAATTTCCTTTTTTTTTTTTTTTTTTTTTTTTTTACTGTGGTTGTTGTGTTGAGAAAAGGTGAACAGGACAGATATCAGGAGGTGTTTCCTGTTTGTGCAAACAGATGGCAAGTTGGCATTAACCATATACATGAGATAACATTATCAAAAAATCTTAACCACATGAAAAATTATCAAGAGGACTTCTGTAAGGCATTTTCAATTCTAGTGAAATTAATCTAATTGTAATACCAGCACATTTGGTAGCTACTTCAGTGACTATTTATTAGTGGTGTGTAATACATGTTTGTTTGTCAGACTTTGTGTGAGAATTGTTTTACAGAATATGCTATGGCAAGTATGTAAACGGGAAGCAGGGAGAGCTGTCATCTCTGAAAGAGAGTAAGGAGATGATGTGAAAAAATAGTTGTGCAGTTGGGATTTCAGCAAGTTATGCAATCAGACATTTGCTAGCTCTAGACTGATACGAATGTCTTGTTCTGTGGGAAAAGAGGATACTCTTTTCCTTTAAACAGTATTATCCCAGACAACATTTAGGAAAAAAAAAATAAAATCTAGTATGTGACCTAACAACTGAAGTACTGACAGTTACCAAGAATAATTCAACAATATAGTATTTCCTTATAATATTTCCTATCATGGATAGATGCCATTTTCCCATTCCTTTAACCCATTCCTCCATCTCATTGTTTGGTCGCCTGAAGCTTGTGACTGATTTGTTGTTTTCCTGTAACAGGAGTTCCAACATCGTCAATGTTTTCCTAATCCACTTCTGTTAGTGATGTAACAGAGATCTATAGATGGTCTCGTTGATTTGTTTGTCTCCTGTCAGATGGTAACAAAGAACTTGCCATCAACCAATTCACCCAGTCTTTGCACTGCTAGCATCAAAGGAAACTGCTGTTTTCTTTAGTTAAAAAATTACAGCTGTAGGAGGAATAGAATGGGGAAGGCTTATAGACCTTTCCTTAAATGTGTCCATCCTGCTCTTTGGCTACTGAATGAAGCAGTCTTTTTGACATGAGTTTTCTCTGATGACATGTGGAAGACTGCTGCAGGCAGAAATCAGGGCCCAGTCACCAATTGTACAAAATATTTGTATGAATGGTAGTTTATAGACTGATTTTCTCAGTGATTGCCTTCCTCTAGCAGAGGAGCAGAAAATCTTCACCAGGTTGGTCATGAAAGATTTGGACTAAGAAAGAAGGCATGAACAGTAAGTCTTACCTTTGTGTGGATAACATGATGAATGGTTTCTCTCTGCCCAGAGCACTGCCTGGGGAAAGCAGTTGGTTTATCAGTTGTGATCCTGAGCACACCAACATGCTTTCCAGAGGGTTGTGTTGCCTGTACTGAGGGCCTCCTCTGACACGGTACAGCTCTTCAGCCTTGGAGCAGACTTGTGAGAAAGAGCTGTGGTTAGAAACATCTGTGAGAAGTCTTGGGGCCTCACCCACCTCAACTGGGAGTTCGCTGCTTTTTAGTACAAAGTCCAGGTCCTAAGCCACTGATTTGACTTCTGGTCTTAATCTTAGACCTGCCTCACCATTGTGGGTTTGCTTGGTGATCTGGACTGTTGGCTGACTGTGGTTACCATCACTGGTAATATGGCTTTAGCTTTTTTCAAGTCTCCTGCAGAAGGCATACTTATTTACCATTCTCCAGTAGAGACTTTTGGATGGTTTAGAAGCATTGCTTAAGTAGATTCACAGATTGGATATCTTCATGTGAAATCTTCCTGACCTTTCTCAGAATAAGTGTCTTAGCATGGTCAAAAACCCCTCTAATACAGAATGTATCATAAAATTGTGGACAGAAGGTCTGCAGAATAACATCTGGGAGACGAGGCAGAATATTGATCTGGAAATCTGTGCACATTTTTAACTGGAATTTGAGAGGTTTGGTTAATTTAAGACATTTTTTTTCTGATTGCTTTGAATCAATTTAAAAATCAGATCTTAGGTCAATTTCTGCTGTGATAGTAACGTTGTCCAAAACTCACCGTGCACACTGGAAATCCTTAGCCTTAATCCCCGCTTTCTATGTATCTGAGACATTAGCAGCAGTTCCTGCTGTATTCTTATATTTAGGGAATGGTCCACAGTAGCAGTTCCTGTTGCAACTCTCAATCTCTGCTCTTTTCAGTCTGACTTTGTACGTGTCCATCATGTGATTAGAGGCAAGCCCACGAGAAGAAACAACTTCCTTGCATTTACAGATCAAGAAACATAACTACATGGTTCAGGTGCAGTCTAGGAAATAATACACAGTTGAGAAATAGACCATCCAAAGTAAGTTGTAATTAATCCTAAACGTCAGCGCTCACGTAGCATTAAGACCTTTGGGCTTCATTAGTTGTGCTTTAGATATTCTTTCATCATTAATACTGTCAAGAGCTGACGTTTGTCACAACTTCCAAAAGTAATTGAAATATTCTGAAGACAACTGAAAAGGATCCTTTCATAGGAATTTTGATTCAATTTGCCTTGTCTGTTTGTTATTTCTGGGATAGAGTTAGCAAGCTTTGCCTGGAACTGTTCTGAATTCATCCATCCATATCTGTAGTTCATCCAGTTATCCATAATAAACCTTCTAAATGATGTAGATATTTTGTTAGGGAATCTGGATTTCTTACTGCAGGTAATGCATTTGGTGCACATTAATTTAACATGTATTGTTAAGTTTAAGATAAAAAGGCAGATGTCTTTGCAATGTTATGTGTCAGCACGCAGGATGGGGTGCAGTAGGTAGCTTGGTGGTGAAGCTGAGAGCACAGCTGGAAAGGTACGTTTATTTCAGTCTTCAGATGCATCAGCATACTGATAACTTAATGCATTTATTGTAGATTTTATATTTAATATGCATTATTCCCTATGAATTCTGATGCTACAAAAAACATGCCTTGATCCTGGTGGCATTTTTCAATCCACTAGTTTTATATGAATTACCCTTGGAAGCATTGCTTTCTCTGCCTCAAGTATTTGAAAAGAACACACACAGGCAAAGCAGCATCAGTTCCATGTTCTTGCTGAACTATGGAGTTTAGTAGGCTTCCAGAAATTCAAAATTAATGAATTAAAACTCAAAATAATTCTGAGCTAGGGGAAACTGGAGATGGGGAAGTACATGACATGTGATTTTCCAAGACCACAGAGGAGTTCAGCTTGTCAGTAGAAGGTGTGAGATCCCTCTCCAGGTTTAAACTAGAAACCAATTCTCCTTTTTGCTGCACTATACTGTTTGGCTAACACAAGGCTTATGTGAAATCCTTCAAGATAAAACCCTTAAGTAGATGCTTAGTGCAGCTTATAAAGTAGAAATATGGATATGTAATAGTGTCTTAAACTCCGAATTGCCAGTAGTGGAAACTTTGTACTGAAGATGAGTGGTGACTCATAGCTGGTGCTGATCTTCTTAGGGAAGATGCACTGTGCCATAAGGGAATGGAACACTTCAGAAGCTAACAGGTCGCATCTCATGACTCCCCAGCTGCTTTTTCAAGTGTGCTCTTGCACTGCCTCCTGTGGTGTCTGGGCTGACTGGGTCTCCCAGGGAGACAGTGGAAGTGGAAGAGAACAAAGGAAAGGGCAGGAAAATGAAATAAATGATTTTGTGTGTGTGTGTGTGTGTGTGTGTGTGTGTGTGTGTGTGTCTGGGAGTAGGTTAAGCTGCTGCTGCTGATCTGATCAAGCAGAGAGCTTTTAATGCTGCAGGAGTACATAAAGGCAGGAAGAGCCCCAGCTGAGAGAAGAAAAAACTCATAAGAGGAAGATTTTCTGAGAAACGACAGCACAGACCTAAAACAGAGCAACTAGAGGAAGGAAGTCCTTGTCCTATATATACTGAAAGGGAGGGGGATCTCTTCCATGGTAGCAGAGGGAGTGGGTCAGGAGGAGAAGGACACCAGCTGCATTGCAAAGAACAGAGGGAGCGAGTGGTGCTGCTCTTGCCCATTTGCAGGTTCTGGTGTCATACCACATCTCTTCCAGAATGTTTGTGCAAGCTCATGAAAGGAAGATGGATCATTCCCGGGCAATGATAAAGCTTGCACTTTGCATTCTGTGTGTCTTACTGTTTTAAGGCTTCAAGCTGAGCTGTTAAAGTTTCTGTTCAGTGATTTATGCCATACTTACGTTACTGCTGTGTATTTATGTTATTACCATGTAGTCAGAAAATGATTCGGCACTGGAGTACAGCCAGTTTCTGCAGTGGTAGTAATGCAATGAAGTTAGGTAAGTCTGTCACAGTCATATTGGTGTCACAGAAATAATCACTGGCGTGGAAAGTCTATCACGGGTATCCTGCAAGTTGAGCTTGTGATCAGCAGCATGTGCTCTGAGTTTCCTGATGTGTTTTTGTGGATGCAGTGAAAAGCATCTTTGCTTCTTCTCCCTGCTTCTTTATTTCACTCTTACCCACGTAAAGCAAGCACATGCAGGACGTGCTGTTGCATCCCTTGCCAGACACGAAGTCTGGCACAAAGTCACAAAGAGAGCAGGCTCTTCAGCCTCAGAAACCTAGCACTGTAGTGAGCCATATCACCCACAACATATGTGAAACAAGAAGTATTAGCAAGAAATCAGGCAGTCCTTTCTTCGTTTTATTAGCACTTTTCCTTAGCTTACAGCAGCTACTTCAAGTAGCTAGGAAAGAGGTAACAAGTCCCAGTTTTCACTTCACAAAAAGCTTCAGCAGCTCTTGTTTGAGATAAGTGTTTCGCTCATATGTTTGCCCTCTGTATTATGTGGGATGGATGGTCTTTATGTGTAAAAGAACCTGTAGTTCTTTTTGAAAAGACTGACAGCAGTGTCTGTTTTCAGGGTGGGATGATTAACTGGAATAGACTGTTTCCTCCTCTACGTCATAGACACAATGAGAATTACCAAGATCATCACCCATCTGATCAAGACACACCTCCACCTACTGAGGTTTCTGAAGAACAGGTAATTTTTTCTTTTAATATTTCATTTAAAAAGCTGTTTTTAGGAATTACCTCTGTTTTTTGGTTTGTTTGTTTTTTTTGTCTGGTGACATAACTTCTTAATCATTCCCTGCAGCAGCATAAATAGAAATCCCAGTTAACAGTCACAATACAGGGACGGTGACTCGTCATTATCTTTCAAACTAGAGTTGCATATCAACTTGGGAATTACTGCTCTTCTTGCATAACTTTTCATTCCTTATATTTAAAGGTTAGACAATTTCACAAGTGGGGCTGATATGTTTCAAAAAAAAAAAAAAAAGGAAGAATGGTAAATAGATTTCATCATTCTCCCTGTAGACATACAGCTCTTCCTGCACTGAGGTCTCCAGCTTAAGTTCCCAACTGGGTCATGTGGCTGTTTGGAAATAAAAATGTTCTGCCAGCCTTGGGCTGCAGCAGACACTTGTGGGGTGTTTCCCTACATAATATGGTTGACTGATTTTGTATACTGTTGCCACAGAGAAGTTTGTCTTTTCTGCCTAGTGTAGATTTAGACCTGTAGTGTAGATGTAGACTTCTGTTGATAGTTTGTTGTCTCCGAAGAGAGGATTTGCCAGGAAGTTTAAGAATTGGATATTAATCTTGTTTCTTTATTCAGGATTTATTGTGTGCAGTCAAGTTCTCTGAGTTTTAGCCCATCTGCAGTTAGCTGCACTGGCCTTTTTATTTTCTAAGGTATCTGCTATTCTTCAGTGAGAATAGGTTCCAAGAGTGAGTTCCTCTTTCCCCTTTTTCTGTTCCAAGGAGACAAATCAATACCTGCCAGTGCCATGCTCTTATTTCCAGTTAGTTTAAAATGAGATTGTTCCAAAGAGAAAACTTTGCTATGATACAATTTCTAGTTTTGATTCAATGTTAGATTACGTCCCAAATTAACTGAACTGGTGGTTTTGATTGAGAACTTGTTGGCCTACATCAGAAAAGTTAAAAAAAAATAATTTAAAATTAAAAAATCAATCAACAAGAAAGAAAGAAAGAAAGAGAGAGAGAGAGAGAGAGGAGAGAAAAACAATAGAAAATCCCCCACTAAAGAACACCTTCTGAGACCAGTCTGAAATTTTGACCAGCCTAAAAGCCTATTCAGTGCCGGGAGTAAAGTGACAAATTCTGTATGTATGGACTGTACTGTTGTGCTGGAACTCATGTAACAGTTTTTCATCCAACTTGTGCTGCCTTCTGACCTCAAACCTGGCCCAGGCTCAGCTGTATGAAAGCACTTAGGTATATGCTTACATGTTGTAATGCACTGAAGTTGTAAAGATCACCCAGTTGCTGCCATCTGAAATGCTGTCTGGTTGCCTTGCGAGGTAGAGAGTTACCCAAGCACCTTTGATTTTTCAGATTTGTGCTAATAAATCTGTAAATTGTTTTAGAATGGCAGAAGTGCAAGGTTTGTGCCTGTTCTTTGGATTCAGATTTGTAAGCGTTAGCAACGTCTGGTAGAAAAATCTCTGCTTATCTCGTGGATTTTTTAGCACCTTCAACTACTGTTACCAGCATTCAACTCAGTTTCCTGGTGCTGGATTCTGTGGTTAAAATATACTCAGATAAACAGAGCTTTCTGCTGTTAAAATGTATTTCCCATCATGCCCTCTGGATGTTTCTGCAAATGGGAGCATTGAAACTCCATCCACCGCTTCTTGAAAGCCAAAGTTACAATTCATGCCCACTGCCATAAAAACCTTTCGTCTGAATTGTATTGCTGTGGTTAGCTTTTATTTCCATTGCCTGACCTCTTTCTCATAAAAATCGTTATCTTAGGTGAAAAGTCAGAAAAGGGAACTTCAGAAAGTTACTGGTTATGAGATCCAGATTGATGTTGCAGTGATGTTGAAAGTAACGATTTGTTTCTCTCTCTACAAGAAGGTGAGAAACTGACACTAAGTGATAGAGCGAGAAGGGGAAATGCAAAAAAGGATGGTAGCATTTTTGATATTTTGACAGCCAAGGTAGCAGTATTCAAACATTTTGTAACAGCGAATTTAGATCAAGAGAACCAGAACTCCCACCTCCGGCCACACTTAGCAAGACTGTATTTCTCAATAAGCCACCAAAGCAGCAGAGGTTAAAAATCCTGAGTTCTTTCTTCCAAGAGGCATTTCAAAAACGACCACATATTGTTAATGTGTCACAGGATGCAGAGGATCTCAGCTGCATTCCTGCTTGCTTGGTTCTGTGCAACAGGCTCCATGCCAGCCTCCAGACGGCCACCAGGGCTACCAGGCCACTCTGGACCTGCAGCTCCCACCTCACAGCCCACCTGCAGGCATGAGCAGGATGGAGAGTGCCTCCTGCTGCCCCTGGCCATGCTTCATTCTGCATGCTGCCCCCCTCTCTGGATGATTAAATAGAAAAGTGAATTAGTTACATTGTGACTTTCACTTATACCTAATAGAGAGCCATAGTTTTCAAGTGTAATTTCAATCAAAATTTAGCCATAGATTTAATTAGATGTATGTACTTTTTTTAACATGTAGTAATTTGTGATACTTTGAGTATCTATTAGCACAGGGGAAAAGGTTAGGTGTCAAGAACGTGATGTTGCAAAGAATGATAATTGGCTACTGATCACCAAAATGATTCTCTCAGTGTGCCCATTTCGAGGTAACTCGTCCATCACATGGCATTGACTTGCCCTGTTCTGAAAACATTTGGAATCCTTCCATGAATTTTACTGAACTGATTTAAGTATCTCCGTGCCTCTGTTTCAGGATTAGCTTTCAGGTTGGCTGTAAAAACCACCTGGAGCAAACGTTTTGGGCTTTTTAATGACCTTTGGAGAGTTCAGTTTTTTTTCAAGCAGAGCACAGCTAAGTGTAATTGTACAGGTCTTCCCATCTGCTGTAAGATTTCCCATTTGGGTCAGCGTTGGGCTCTGCAGGGCACGTTCTTCTCTAGAGCAGTGAGCCCTGGGGTCAGGCTGCCCTTGTCATGTAAGGTGCCAAGGTGAAAAACAGAAAAAATGCCAGCCAGACAACAAAGCTTACTTTCTATTTCACTCTTCTTTCAAAACTGGGTCGGGGTTGAAAACACAGCAAAAGACCGGTTCTGAACAAGTGATCACAGAGCACTCGTCTCACTCTCTCTCTCTGGCGGTGTTTTCAAGCATGCTGTCACAGACAAGTCTTTGTGGCGGTGCCCATCTGCGCTTGCACGCTCTTCAGATAGATAAGCTTCTGAACAGTGGAAAAAAAAGTGATCCCTGACACTGTTAAATAGGTAATGCACACATCATCTGAGTAAAACTGTTGGTTCAGTAGTTCTATGTTATTTGTCTTACAGGTTGCACGACTTATGGAGATGGGATTTTCCAGGGGAGACGCTCTGGAAGCTTTGAGGGCTTCAAATAATGACTTAAATGTAGCCACTAATTTTCTACTGCAGCACTGATGATTATGTGAGCGATGAAGGAACTCTCCCCGTGGGTTTGTATGCTCCCGAAGGGGACACAGCCACCTGCTGGACAGACTGATGCAGGTCGGCCCTGCCGAGCCGGCAGGAAGGAGAAGTGGGCTCCGCGTGACTGCTTAGTGAATGACGTGAGCTGTTCCCAAGCCTTCGAATCAACCGGTGGTTTCTATTCTGGTTATCCTTTTCAAAGTAAATTTAGTTTCTACTTATTACTGGATATCACCTAAATTTATTTTTTAAATAAAATAGGTGGTTTTTTTCCTTGTAAATCATTGTTAGACACGTTATCGAACTGAATGACTACGAAAACATGCTCCTACAACCACAACAACCAGATTGACCCATTAAGGAACGGTGTGCTTTCTTTGTTTGCCCGTCTGATTTCTCTAGCTTACATGTTATGTTACAGTACTTGATTTCTGACTGCAGTAATAAGGTGTTCAACGGTCACTTCATGTTCGACTCACTGAAGTGTTATGAGATTATAATGTCACTCCAGAAACTTTTATTAATGCCTGTAATATTTTGTTTCCTGAATTCCTTTTTAAATAAAAGTCGTCATTCAGCACATAATAATGCACAGATAGGGTACAAGAAAATTTATATGGCGTATTACAAGCAATGATAAGTGACCACTGTACACTTAAATTTTGCAAATGGAGTAGATTGCTGTTCAGACACAGGGCATGAGGATACTCACTGGAAGCAATAAAGGTGAATTGAATGAGACAACGAGGTCAGAACTGCAGTAATTTGAATGACATCCACGTCTGATTCAGACAGGCTTCTGCATCAGTGGATGTGTGCTGTGTCTGATGCGCCAGGTTTGTATTTTGAGCTGACTACACACCGTCTTCAAGGAAAAATATACAAAGCTATCTTTTCTATGTAGTTCCAATTTTCTACTTTCAGAGTTGTGGGTGATCCTCCTGAATCTTTTCTGTATGAAGTAGTTAATGCAGATGGAGTGCCAACCATAAGAGTGGCTCAGAGTAACACAGGAGTCAACGGGACACTGCTGCCAAGGTAGCATAATGCTGGCTTTGAAGTGTAGATGGATGGGTAAAGTTGTGTGGCTTGACTCTCAGCAGTGCTCATTGTGAGCACCTCAGGAGCTTTAGGAGGTGGGTAGGACACCAAGCTGAAGTAATACGGTATTTCAAACTGCAACTCCATGAAACCCCTGCATACATGTGTCCCAGACATTGAATGTCAGCTGCTGTGTATGTACTTTTGTTAGTATGTTGAGTATATATGTGTCTATTTATATACGTACAGGCATATTTAACACATACATGTGTTCAGAATAAGATACAGGTCCTCAGGAGCATGAGGCTATAGTGGGTGAAAAGGGAATGAGATGCAAGAACACTGGGAAGAGAAGGGTGTTTGGGAAATCCAACAGAATGCGTGTGTTCATATGTGTTCATACTGGACATGTGTCCAGTTGCATTTCGCTTGGAATATTTGCTGGGGAATCACAGCACAATATTTAGGAACTGAGAGATACATTGGTTTTTTGTTGTTGATGTTGTTTGTTTGAGGGGTTTTTTTAGTTCACTGATAAGACTAAAAATGGTCCTTCCAGCATGCAAGTCCTTATGCAGGCATAACATCCAACTTCTTCATCTTTAGGCACATAACAGGCTTCTGTAATAAAGCCAGTGTCCTGTGCATGTGTGTGTGTGTGCAGGCTGGGGGTGCTTCTATACCCAAATGGCTGGAAACTGGCTGCCTTAGGAAGGGCAACTGTTGGAATATCTTCTTAAAAAAATAGAGTAATTTGTGTCAGCAAACGTTTTTAAGTGTGAAATATTCAGACTCTTCCTCCACAAATATTTTATCATAATCAGCAATAAAGACTAATACATTCTTTCAGACGTAAAATGTTGTCTGAAGGAAATAAAGGTCGACCTTCCCTGGATGGACTGAACAGAACACATGGACACGTGCCCTGTTCTGGGGATAGGCACAACAAGCATTTCTTACATGGAATTTTAAAGCATAAAGGAAGCATCCTGGGCACACTGGTGGATGTTGTCCAAGTCTCAATCCTTGACTGCTGTTATCTATACAGAGGGTATCCGAAGGCCACGCTTTGGAAAGCCCCATTTCACAACACATGATCAAACATGAGGGGTGAAGCTCAGGTCTTGGTGATGTCAGCTAGAAACCTGACTTCTGTAGAAGAATTTATTGCTCAGAATGCTCCCAGGGCTGTGATTTCCAACCGGGGAAAAAAGAAGAAAAAAAAAAAAGAAGTGGTGAAAGGAGGGGTCCCTGATGCAGTTGAGCAGAGTTCCTGTTTCGTACAAGAAAGCTCCACTGCACCAGAGCTGGGGAAGACCTCAGTCTCCTCTTGATTGTGACACATCTGTGAGCATGAGGAGAGTGGTCCTTCCAGCCCTCACAGTGCCCAGCACAGCTTTAAATGTCACCATGCAGTTCCTTTTTGAGGTGTGACACAAAGATATGTTTAGGCTGTGACATAAAGCAGGATGCTTTTCTATGGAGAGGATTTTCAGTCCCTAGGTAACGGTAGCTGCTTTTCAGACTTCTCTAACAGCATGGGAACGTCACCATGAAACAACATCACAGTACTTCGCTGTGGACTTTCCTAGATGACTGTGGGACTTGGAAATATACCTGCAGTTGTTTGCATTTGTGGAAAACTGCCTGGTGAGCAGTTCTCAAACCCAAGCTCTTTGCTGAGACGCAGAGTGGTTGGGCTCTGTACCTCACCCAAACTTTTCCCTCTCCCAAAGCAAAGACCATGTGCTGCTGAGGTCAGCAGTTGGGTGCCAGGGCTGCTACCTCCCTCTGGTCCCGGAGCACGGGATGGACATCTCATGGCTTCTGTCTGAAACAAGAACCAAGCAAGCAAGTATAGTGCAAGGTAGTATCATAGAATGGGCTTAATTTCTTGTATGTGTTCTCCTAAGTGAGATTGACTTTCTTTAAGCGGATAGTCATAGAAATGAGTTTTTTATAAAGGAGCATAAACACTATTTTATTAGGAGAGTCACGTGAGCACACAAGCACTACATGTGTTTATATATGCACACACACTATTATATGTGTGTATGAGTTTCTGTAAAGCATACAGTACTTGGTTTAACACTTCATGGTATTGTTCCTCCTTTGCTGGGAAGAGGGGCCATGGCTGCAGAAAGAGCACACAGTTCTACATTGAAATTCAAGAGGGTGTGCACCACTGGGTGCCATCAGCCCAATCATGAGATGGGGAGTGGTGGTGGGGACAGGGACTGCATGGCTGAACTGAAGGCAGCATCTGGCCTTCCAGCCAGAGAAAAGTAGGCAACAAACCCGGCATTTAAGTTTAATGAAGAAGACATGAGTGAGATGGGGCTCAGATGAACAAGTGAGAGATGGAATAACATGAGCAGATCAGCAGTGTGGCTGAGCCTGTACAGAAAATCCACCCATGGTTTTTCTTGTAGGAACGTCTGCTAAGGTCATCCACCCATTTCACTTGGTTGCTTTTGCATGAGGTGCTGCTTTTACCCAGGGAGGAGCACAGCACGGTCAGTCCCAGCCAATCTCAGATGTGAAGTGGAGCCCAGTGTCACCCCAGCAGGTGATGGAGTGTTGATGGCAGCTGATGGAGACCTGCAGGCAGGAGCTGCTCGGTGAGAGGCTGTTGGGTTCGGTTGATGCACGCACTTTCATATGGCAACATCATGGTGCCATACGAGGATGGGTATCCTGGTGTGAAACAGGGAGTTCCAGGTATGGTTTAAAGAAGAAAAGTTAGTATGAAAATAGAACTGTTGGAAACCCCAGGCAGGTCCCAGCTCCCCCTGTCAGCAGATGTGCTGCCAGGTGTGGCCACGTGCTCCCAGCAGGCCAGCAGCTCCCTCCCGCTGCGTTCGCTCCCCTGATGTTATCTTGGCGGGTGCCTGCAACTGCAGGCATCCCTCATCTGATGGCTGCAGCATGGCGCTGGGTGCAGGCACATTTGCACCGAGAAGGATGTCAGGAAGGGAGCAAAAGCTGTGGCAATGCAGTTACTGATAGGAGCTGATAAGAGGAGGGATGAAATGTTCTCAGCGAGTTCACACATGAGTGAGGTGAGCAGCAGGAAACATGCATGTCTCAGTGCTGCGCAAACGTGCTGGCTGAGGCAAGCATTATGCAATGAATGAAATGTGGAGAAGGTGCTCTGTGCCCATGGGGGAGGATACTGTGATTGTCTTATTGTGGTAAAATGCCCCATTTTCACACTTCTGCATCAGCTGTGGAGCAGAGCACAGGAGTGCCTCCATGGGAGGAGATAGAGCGGAGTAACACCTCTGCTAGGGAGCCCCTCCTTGCAACCCCTGATCCTCTGCTGGACAAACAAAGCCACCAACCTCCTGTGCATGGTGGCCTAGCTCCCAGCAGGCTGTGTGCTGGACATCCACACCGGGCTCCTTTGCAGTGCTCAGACCACAAATACCCCTCGGTTACTGCCCACCAGCTCTTCCATGCCCACTGTAATGTGTTTTTTGGACACAGGCTCCCTTCAGGCCAGCACTGAGTTCAGACTGCTGGGAGTAGGGCTCGGGTACCCTGCAGGGCTCTGCTGGAGGCCCTTCCAACCTCAGGTACATCCCTGCAGTCACCTGTGTGCAGGTGAAGCTATTTTCATCCAAAAGATAACTCATGCACACTCAAAGAGCTGCACACACCTGTATTATTAACCTCCAAGCAAGAAATGTTACTGCCTTCAAGAACGAATTCTGGTAATCAGAAGTATCATTAATGGAACTGCTTTAAAGTTAAGCAAAAGAAAGCTGGTTTTCCTCCTCTTCATATCTCTGTGCATATCTGTGTCCCTTCCAGCCTCCAGTACAAAACCATGAAATCTGGTTTGCTTGTGTCCAGCCCTGTAGTCCAGCAGCTTCAGAGCAGAGCTGTGGAGCTCCTAGGTCACACCAACCTTTTCCTTACTGCACAGGCTTTGATGGGAACCAGATGCCTCCTGGCTCTGGTGAGGGTCATGTGTGACCTACCCTTAGCAAGGCCCCAGGAACAGCCTGGTTTGGCTCATGTTCCAGTCCTCATCTTCAAGGGAAGGTCAGCCAAAGCAGAGCAAGACCACCATCAGTCCCTTTTATGGGAAGAGTGAGGTGGATTAATGTTGCAGGGAACCATGCGCTTCCTCCCAGTGCCACAGAGGGGACCAGGATCTGCTCACATGGTGCCCACTTGCCATCCATCCCGTGCAGTGCGTGGTGAAGGGACAGCAGCAAGCTGCTCTTCATCCTTGCAGGGAAAGAGCTGCAGGCAGCAGCTGGGTTGGTGCTGTGTTAGCTGTGCAAAAGCCCCTGGTTCCAGGCAGAGCGGTGGGGTCTGGTCCTGCTCTGCGGCCCGGCCCCACGGCTGCTGCAGGGAATGGTCCACACGCTGCCAGATGGAGAGAACAGGAGGGTCACATTAGACAGAGCTGGAGCCGGGTGGCTGGCTGTTGCTGTTGCTCTCAGAGGGGGTCTTGGCAGTGGAGGAGGTGGCCATGGAGCCGCTGTTCCTGAAGATGCGGAGAAGCCTCCGCTTATAGCCTCGGAAGGCGAAGAAGTAGATGATGGGGTCAATGCAGCAGTTGAAGTTCATGAATGCCACGGTGACTTGCAGAGACATCTTGAAGGCCTGCTGCTCATGGCAAGATGGCTGGTGGAGGATCTTCCTGACCATGAACTGGACGATGTTGATGTGGTAGGGGCTGAAGC